TGGGTGAGATTACGGTACCCTCAAGGCTCTTGTAATGTACCGAGCACCGTTCAGTGCTGGCATTGGAGGCAAATTCCTTTACGAGTATAGAACTCGTTCATTCATCTGTTTATTGCTGCATCCAGCCAATGAATATTTGCTGAACACTTAATATTAATCAGTGGTGAGCAAAACAGTCTGATGGGAAACACCAATACAAATGGACATGATAAGTGAAATGATAAAAAGACGGGGGTTTTATAGAGCTTGTAACAAGATACTCTAGGGCACCATAGGCAGATTTTTAAGCCATGCTGTTAAATGCTCACATTTCCCCTCTTAAGACTATCACACAGGTTACAGTGTAGAAAGCAGAGGAGCCAGGGCCTGCCTGCCTGTCCTTTCATAAATGTCTGTAACCCTGGGAGTCTACAGAGCATATTGTGCTAGTTGATTAGCCCAATCCCATTTCTACCCTCCTCCCCTACCTCCATGTAATACAGGGCCTGGAAACACCAGGCACCTTCCCCTGCCCCAGCCCTCCTCTGAGGCTCCAAGGAGCTGTGTGACTCCCTTCTGGTCTGAGACTTGAGAAGACATTGGGGTCTTCTAGAAAGGAATGTGCTTTTCCTTACTAGAGGAACAAATGCGAACTCTTCCTGTTTTGTCCCCCCATTAGCAGAAATGTGGAGCCTCTCTGTGGCAATGTCAGCTGCCATCCACACAAGCTGCTCCTAAGGGAGAAAGCTCACGGGCTGTTGTTATTGTCATTACCAACACAGTGGTTGAAACAGTTGGTTTCCCTCAAAACTGCTTAGCAAGCATCGTAATAGCTAGAAGATGGAATCCCATGATACCCTTAGAACCTTGAACTGGGATGGGAAAAAATGGTGGTGAGTTGTGCTGGAATCCATGCCAAGAGCCTCCTGAAGTCGAATCCCTTAGTGTTTCACTCCTTTGGCCAACTGTCTCCAAGACATCCTTAACTACAAGCCTGGATCCCTGAGTCGCTAATTGTAATTATCCATTATGACCGAGAAGGAATTCTTCTTCCTGCTTTTGGTGTGCTGTGTATGCAGTGTATGTGTGTATGTGTGCGATATGTGTAGATGATACGTGTGAAGATGGGCATTCATGTGTGTGGGTACAGGTGTGTGTATGTGTCACGGTGCACATGCGGAGGTTAGAGGACCATCTTGGGCATTAGTTCTCGCCTTCTACCTTGTGTGAGATGTGGTCTCCATGACTGTTCACTGCTGTATGTGTGAGTAACTTGCCCATTCTTCTACCTGGGGATTCTTGCGTCTTTGCCTTGCACCTCATTATAAGAGCACTAAGGTTACAGATGCACACTGCTATCCCAGCTCTATGTAAGTTCTAAGGGTTCAAACTTGGGTACTAGACTTGTTCAGCGAGCACTTTAACCCCTGAACTGTCTCCCCAGCCCATGGCCTGGCATTAAAAAGTAACTAAGTGAACCTGAATACATTTAAGGTTAGATAAATAAGTTGTTATATATCTCCCAATCTTTGGCAGCCAGATGGGCTAGGTCACATTCCGTGGAGCAGATACATTTCATATGGTGAATTGTGATTCTCATCAGCCAGCTCAGATATCTGCCTCTAATCAATTTCATTCATTCACAGACACAAGGAAAGACTAGGTCTTTCATTAAATGCAAGAGCCACAGTAGATATTTCAAAGTCAAGGTGAAACATTTAGATGAAAAGACCTCCATGCCAGAGGCATGAGGCATCGGCTTATTTATATGTTTATAACTTTTATATGTTTATAACTTCCTGCCCTGGAGTTGGAGGCATTTTTCTTTTCAATAATTGCACCATAATTTCCCCATACTTGACATTTTTTTAATTCTCCGCTGAGGAAACAATGCATGAGATAAATAAATTAGTTCATTGGATCATTGAATTGCACAAACAGTACTAATATGGGCCCTTTGTCATTTCTGACAGGACTGTCATCCAGAAAGCAGAGACGAGCAGGCCTGGGCTGACCAAGAGGGGCCAGTGCCAGGGCCTCTTGGGTGCTGCATCTGTGTCTGGTTTCTAATGTCATCTGCCTGATATAGTCTGTAAAAAAAAAAAATCAGGACTCCCCAGACCTACCCAACTCCAACTCCAACCTGTGATGTTGCCATTCCTCAGACACAGGTTAGCCCTGGGCAGGTCAGAGCAGGCCCTCCTATTCTCAAACCAGATTATCCACTTAGTAAGCTCACATATAACTGTAGAGACGGGATAGTGATGTCCAGAGGTGTGGAGTCACGCAGAGGTCGCGGGTCTCTCTAGATCTTAGTCCAGTGTTGCGGTCCCATTGTGGCTTCCATGTCTAAGAGACCATCGCTCTTCTTCCCTCCACTCAGAACTAATTCAGTGAACTGTCTGTTGCTTCTGAGAAAGAAAGGCCACTGGCTAGTGCAATGGGCTGCTGTACTTCTGATGTTTGGGAAAGTGTTATACCTGTTTATCTGAGCTGGGTGCTGAGCTCCTTGGAGAAAAATGCCCTTATTACTGGGGCTTACCCAGGCAGAACCAGGCAAGCTGGTTTCTCTGCTTCACCTGGCTGTCAGATAGGGGCCACCTGCTCCTTGATTGGCACAGGAACACATAGGTCTAAACACATTCCCTAAGACACGGGTCTTCATATCAAAGGATGTCAGGGAGCTTACTGTGTTATTCCCTGTGAACAAAAGGTGTCAGAGTGAGATGCAACCGAACAGTCAGGAAAATAGAAGTCAGTCTATTCCTGTCTCCTCACCCCAGGGCGATGAAGGAGGGTGCTAGCTAAGGTGTTTTCTGATGACCCCAAAGGGTGGTGAGCTTTCTGTTTTATAGACCCTGGTGATATACTGGATCCAGGCAGACTTGGATAGGAATCCCAAATTTCTCACTTAGTAGCTCTGAGACCTTCTGGACCTCGTGTTAACTTCTTTGATAAAGAACTTTGAAACCTGAGGAACAAATTAGAGATCTACGGAAGATACCTAAGGCAGATAAGCATGAAGCAGATGTTTGAAAATGCCCATAGGTGTTCTTATAAGCTCCTGGGGCCTTCTTGGTAATTCTCCAAAGCCCATGCCGAGGAACTTCAGAGAGAGTGCTGTAGCAAGTGATGCTCCAGCATCAAGCAAAGCCACCAACCACTTGTCTAACACGACAGTGGGATAAGCAACCTACGCCAGAACAGCCTGTAAGAGTTTTAAATGAAATGGTAAATACTGTATATTAAGTTTCTACATTCTTAAAAGAAGTTGGTTCCAAGGGCACCAACTAAATCTAAGATACATCCTTTCTGATCGCCTGCCAAATATCTGTTCCGGCTTTGGCAATTTTTGAAAAGTGCCTTTTGTCTTTAAAGTAAGCATCCATTGAGTCAGCAGCATAGAAACACTGGCTTCTTGCTTCTGAGTGAGCAGGGAAGCCGGGGCTGCACTAAGATGTGCAGGGTTTGGTCCTATTCACTGAAGAAGTCTGACACCTTCCTCGGGACATCAGTTATCTGAGGCCAATAGCAAAGCTGGTAAGCACAGCCATGCAGACACAGGTGCATGGTAAGCCTGTGCTCACACTGTATTTGGGAACATCAGCCAGGGAGTCCCATGATCAAAGATCAGTCGGTAGAGTCCCTGTCCGCCATGAGGTCAGGGCAGGGACTACAGTGTGTATCAATACCACAGCAGAGCCAGGCATGGGACACTGCAGAGTTCTTTCTCCATACAGCCGATGCTGCAAACTGCTAAGAATGTAGTCCCCTTTATAATAATGTAATCCCAGGGAGGAACCAGCAGTCCTTTTTGCTATGCTGTTGTTTTTGTTTGTTTCTTGTCTCCCCGTGTAGTCTGGCTGGCCTTGAACTCAGGATGCTCTTGTCTCTTCTAGCACTGTGATGACAGGCACATGCAGCCACACCCAGGAAGATTGGCCTTTTGATCTGGCTATTACCTCTGATGAGCAATACACTGCTAGACATATTGTGGACCAACATAATGAGACATATGTCTTCCTCTTTAGTAAACATGCCCTTCTGGGATTTCATCACATGGGGAAGCAAGAGGGCGGAGGAGAAAGGAGCCAGACAAAATTCCTCTGGGTAGCCAGTTCTTCCCTTCTGGCCCACAGTAGCAGAGACTGAATATTATTACAATCTAATGCCTGCTCAGATGTCTAACGGAATTGAATTATTGGCTCCCTGCCAATCCTCAAAGACTCTGCTGGCTTTCTCATTGCAACCATCGATGTAACTGAGGCTTCTACTTCCAAACAGCTCGCTGGATCAAAGGCATGGATTACTTTTTAAACGTGACCATATTTTTTTCTAGCAGTAACTTTCCTTGGCCATTGCTGAGTAATACTCAGGGTGGTTGTCTGGTTGAATTTAGCTGAAAAGCCAGCAGTAGCTGAGATGGATAACAGGACTGTGGATTAAATTCCTTCTTAGACTGTAGTTAAGCAGAACACATTCCAGGCGGCAGGGAATGACTCTCCTGCCTATGAGGTGCTCGCTGTCATCAGAGGGGCTGGGGCCTTAGGAGTCTTTCGCAGTCTCTTCTTTGTTTAGTAGTGCTTGGGATGGGTTGCAGAACGGTCTTTCTCCCCGAGGTCCTGCCTGGACTTCCTAATGATTAGCTTATGTTAGCATTTTAAGATAAACCTTAGGAAACTGTCATCTTGGAAGAATCAAACATGGCAGTTTCTTATGATAAAAGCTTAATTTGAATAAAAGGATAAATTTCATTACATCCATACTGATGCTCATTTTGGACCCCATCATGAACCCCAATGCACTTGCTCTTCCCTGGGTGCACTAGCCAGTTGTTCCTATAGAACGTGCTGTGACCTCCCCATACCTAGCGAACACCGGTACTGTGTCCCGCCTGGGTGGGGTTCCCCCTAATTCCTGCTGCTAACATTCATGTTATTCTCACCAGGACTTTTTAATAGAGGCTTGCGTTTTTCATTACTGTGCAAGAGAACCACTAACCCCTCTTCAACCTCTTTCAGATCGAGGACATCATTACGAAGATGCAAGATGACAAGACAGGGGGTGTGCCCATCAGAACGGTCAAGAGCTTTCTCTCCAAAATCCCCAGTGTCGTCACAGGTAACGCATCCTCACAAGGCGTCAGGGACAGCCAGACTTCTAGAGTGGTGTGGAGGTGTCTAGGGTGAGTCACGCTTCTGTGAGGGACTTGACTCAAAGCCCATCCTACTCTTTGTCCATCATCAAGAACTGCCCTAGAGTGAAATGCTCTTAAAAATTAGGCAGGTTTCCAGGCAGTGGTGGTCTTTGATTCCAGCACTCAGGAGGCAGAGGCAGGTGGATCTCTGTGAGTGCAAGGCCAGCCTGTTCTACAGAGTGAGCTCAAGGACAGGCTCCAAAGCTACACAGAGAAACCCTGTCTCAAGAAATAAATCAGAAACAAACAAACAAAAAAAAAAGTAGGTCTCACTTTGTTTGTGGTTGTTTGTTTGCTTGTTTCTTTTGGGATATGATCTTACTGTGTAACTCAGGCTGGCCTTGAACCTATGATCTTCCTGCCTCAACCTCCCAGCTCTGGGATAACAGCTGTATACCACTGTGTCTAGCTCCACTTAAGTGTGTTTAAAGGCAAGTTTCATGTTTAAAGAAATTCTTACGTTTACATTCTATGAAATGTTCTTACTAAGACTTTAATTTACTGCTCTCAAACTCCTTTTCTAAAAGAAATTTCAAAATATTGCTCTGCATCATGTTGCTTTTTCTGGTTCAATATAGTCAAGCTTATTTCTTTAAAAATTAAGATTTTTTTTAAAAAAATTAACTGTATGTGTGTGTGCATGCATGCATACACACTTGGGTGGAAGTCTCCTTAGACCCCAAAGGAATGCATCAAGTCCCTTGCACCTGGTTGAGAGCCTCCCAGTATGGGTGCACAGAAGCGAACTCAGGTCCTCAGCAAAAGCATCATGTATTTTCAACTGCTGAGTTGTCTTTCCAGCCCCCTTTTAAAATTTTTGTTAGTGAAATATATTAGACTCCTGGGTTTAGTTCCAATAATAATGGTAATTATGTAGCTTTTTGCCATATAAATAATACCGATACCTTAGAGTCCCCTTATTTTTTATTATTTCATTATTTTTTCATTATTTATATTGTTTATAATTAATTTCATTTATATTTATAAATAATATTATTTACATTGATAGTTATAATATTTATTATTATATGAATTCCCCTCCCCGCTCTCCCTCTGTTTTGATTGAATAAGTCGTTTTCCTTCAGTTTTCTTACAGAGGTATGTATTTCTTGCTACCCAAACAAACAAGTAAATGAATCTAATCAAAAGTTTTGGTGATTCTCTCATTTCCAAAATTTGGCTATTTGCTTTCCAGAATTCAGGGACCATCAGAACATGGTATCTGTTAAATGCCATAATGGCTAAAAATATACCATTGCTGCCAGGACTGGGATGGCATGACAGAGCTGGGACTTTTTCTTGTTGCTGGTGGGAGTGCAAAATGGTGGGGCTCCTCTGAGAAAGAGGTTGGCAGTTTCTTAGAAAGGCCAGCATTGCTTACCCCTCCTAGGTATTTACCCACGAGACATGAAAACGCATCTTCACAAAATTTATATGCGAAGATTTGTAGTGGCTTTATTCACAATCTCCTCAGCCTAGAAACAATCCAAATGTCATTTATCGGACAATCTCAGCAATAGAACAGAGTGAACCAGAAGCGCATACAATAGCCTGGACTGGTCTCAGCATTGGTTTCCTTGTCTTTCTAAAAAAAAAAAAAAAAAAAAAAAGTCAGACCGAAAAGGTTATAATGTTTTATGCCATGCACATTCACAGTATGGGAAGAAGTAAGTAGTTGCCAGGTTCCTAGGGACAGTTTACAAGGTGATAGAAATACTCGGTACCCAGACCGTGGGACCAGTAATGCGAACCTGCGTGGGTCCTCCTTCACAAGCGTGTGCACCACAGAAAGCTGCTATTGCTTCATGCCAACCAAAAAGACAAAAAAAGCCCTGAGTAACGAGGAGTACCCCAACTCATTGCCTATGATGTCGCCGTTTGAACTCAAATACTGCCAAAGCCCAGGCTGCCGTGATAGACAAGGTGGAATGTAAGCAACGGAAAATTGTTTCACGTGGCTCCAAAAATTAAGTCTGGGGTTGAGATGCCAACGCTGCCAGATCTGCCGAGAGCCACCGCTGGTTGTAGACTACCCGCTTGTCTTATACCACAAGGCATAGAGATGGCACTCTGGTCACTTCAAGGGAACTAATGCCATTCATTAGGGCTCCACCCTCATAAACCACCTCTCAAAGGCTCTGCCTCTGTCCTATGGGGATTAGATCTCAGCACATATATTTTACAGAGGCACAAAAATTTATGTTTTAGCAAGTACCAGGTATATCTAGAAGCTGCATTGTGTTTGAAATTCCTCTAAACATAGTTAAATTCATGAAATATCATGAACTAATATTTTTACTCTGTCAGATTTTATTTAATAGTATATTCAGAATTTGTTTTGTGATAGGACTTCGCCTTTTAGATCAAGCTGTCCTTGAACTTGTTAGGTAGTCCAGGATTGCCTTGAACCCATAACCTTGCCTCAGCCTTGCAAGTACTGGATTACACTTGTGTGCCACCGTACCTGACTCACAATTGTTAAGTCTATGAACAGCTTGGTCTGTTATTTTTCCTACCTTTGTTGATAGTTTAGACACCAAATTTATGCAAGTTTCCTAAGACGAACTATGGAATGCCTCTATCTGCTGATACTGTATTGTTCTCTGAAAACTAATTTCTTTCTGTCTAGCCAAGTGTATAATTTTCATTACTTTTTATAGTTAAAAGTTCCATTCTGTTATTTTCCCAATTTGTTTGCCCACTGGCTCATTTCATTATTAGTTGGGTATCCGCTAAGTTTTAGGTTGATTTTCTCTAGCTGTGATAAACACCATGCCCAAAAGTTACTTGGAAAGGGAAGGGTTTATTTGGCTTCAACGTCCATGTTATTGTCCATCACTGAGGAAAATTGGGCCCAGCACTGAAGCAGGAACCCGAGGCAGGAGCTGAAGCAGAAACTAGGGAGGAACCTGCTTAGAGGCTTGATCCCCATGGCTTGCACAGCTTGGCTTTTCCTGCAGCACAGGATCACATGCCCAGGGCTGTACCCCCCACAATAGACTGAGCCCCCCATCTCTGCATTAATCAATCACGAGAGTGACCCACAGACTTGCCTGAAGGCCAATCTGATGGAGGCATTTTCACAGTTGAGGTTTCTTCTTCCCACAAGACTGTAGCTGGGTCAAGTCGACAAAAACTAACCAGTCAAGACGTACTAAGTGTACTTTGAACTTAACAATCCATTCAACTTACAATGAATACTTTACTTACTTATTTTATCAGGATATAAATCCTTTATAAAACAAAGAGCATCTGTATTTTTTAAAATCAAAACCAAAATACTTTAGAGATAAAAAATATACCAACCTGGGAATATTGATTTAAAAAAATAATAATTAGAAAGGAGTTAAGGAAAAAAAAGAAAGGAGTTAAGGAGGAATGGGGAAGAAGGCATATTTATGAACAAAGCAGGTAATAAAAATCAAGCTTTCTAGAATTCACCAGGGGCATCAAGTGCATCCATACGTGATGGAGGAAGGTAATTGATTAATTATAATAAACCAACTGCTTGGCCTCATAGCTTAGAACATAGGTGGGTGGAATAAACAGAATAGGATGCTGGGCAGAAGAGGAAGTGAGGTCAGATTCTGCTCTGCTCCTGGAGAGACCCGACAGCTCTGCGGGAGCACAGAGACACCATGCTCAGCCCTCCCAGGTAGAGGCAACCGAGCTGCTCTCCCAGGCAGCTGCAACCCACGATGGACTTAGGCTAGAATCTTCCCGGTAAGAGCACCTTGGGGTGCTTACACACATTATTAGAAATGGGCTAGTCCAGGTGCGAGAATTAGCCTGTAAGGGCTAGAGTTCATGGGCCAAGCAGTTCTTAAATGAATACAGTTTGTGTGTTGTTATTTCAGGCATGAGCTAGCCAAGCGGCCGGGGTGTTGGGGATGCAGCCCCGCCGCCACTCCGTATTTCAACACATACATGTTGCGTGACATTCACGGTCATGTGAACAGATGCCTGGTCTTTCAGATAGGCCCTGCTGTGAGCCGGCTTGTCGTCTGTTTGTTTAGAACCTGACTAGTGTATCCTTTCCTAGGAGCTGGAGGGGTGACATCAGAGAAAACAAGTGTTTTGTGACCTTCAGTCTTAGAAATTAAGTTTATCTGGTGAATTCCTTCAGGACCCTTTTAGACCTTGCACAGGAAGCACCTGTTTGGATTAAGTGTATGGAAACTACATCCCCCTCCCTCCGTGGGAAACTTAAGCCCCTCCCACTATGGGATCCCCTCGATTCTTATCTACGTCTTCAAATGTTTCCTCTGCTTCATTGGAAGCATCATTATTAAGTATTTACTATAAGAAAATAAATGCATGGAAAAAAAACAAAGATACATCGTATCGTTCTAACCTACATTAGGTAAAGGAGGTTCCTTAGCACAGTGTGTAGACTTCAGGAAGCTGTGAGTTTGGCAAAGTAGATCCAAGAGTAGGGTGTCCAGGCTAGATTTGAGGTTGAAAATGGCCTCGGATAGTCCTGTCTAGGCACGGTTTGAAATAAAGGACTGAAGATCTGGAGAGCTGCAGACAGTTTATAGAGAAAGTAGAAATGGAGGAGTCATGGTGTTCAAGGACTTGACAGGCACTGCAGCCTCCACCTGTTCACCTGTAAGGCACCCCCAACCTAGTCAGGGGACAGCCTGCTCTACCTAGTCAGGGGACAGCCTGCTCTACCTAGTCAGGGACAGCCTGCTCTACCTAGTCAGGGGACAGCCTGCTCTAGCTAGTCAGGAGCAGCCTGCTCTACCTAGTCAGGGGACAGCCTGTTCTACCTAGTCAGGGGACAGCCTGCTCTAGCTAGTCAGGAACAGCCTGCTCTACCTAGTCAGGGACAGCCTGCTCTACCTAGTCAGGGGACAGCCTGCTCTACCTAGTCAGGGGACAGCTGCTCTACCTAGTCAGGGACAGCCTGCTCTACCTA